AAGATGATTTTGGAAGGACCTGAGAGCACACAAGTTGACTCCAAGGTCCAGATGTACCTTCTGGCTCTGAAAAATTCACTGCTCCCCGAGGCCATTCCTATATTCACCAAATACGCCGAGTCAGAAGTGGGGGCCTACAGCACCATCGCTCTCAGCTCCCTGCAGAGATATGATGTCAAGTTCATGACTAAAGCAGTGAGTCAAAGTGTTGTTGTGTTGAGATGTTAACCTGTAGGAAAGACAAAAATAAATAATCACGACTTCTTTGATTATTTCAGGTGAAACAGACAGTGAACAGAGTTTACCACCAGAGCCGTAGAATCTACGAGAAAAACGTACGAGCTGCTGCGGCCGACGTCATCCTCAGCAGCAACCCGTCGTACATGGAGGTCAAGAATCTGCTTCTGTCCATCGGAAACCTTCCCCATGAGCTGAACAAGTACATGGTTTCTAAAATTCAGGACATCCTGCGCTTCCACATGTCTGCCAGGTGGGTTATAGGACAGGAGTGAACGAAGATGAAAACAGTGGTAAAAAAAACGGTGTAAACCCTGATATCACAGCACTAGACTGAAAGCTGTGATTTATTTTTTCAGCAAAGTTATACGCCACGTCATGGAGGACATGAATTCTCATAACTACAACCGTTTTGCTAAAGTCGGCTCATCGTCTTCATTCTCAGGCTTCATGGCTCGTGAGTATACAATTCACAGAGGTGTAGAACTGATGTAGATGCTTTCAAAACTTGGATGGCCTGAAGTTAGGTTCCACAAAAACTTTCTGAATGGAATCAAGGCAGAAAATTACCATTTTTGTGATGAGATGTGAACTGGATTTTCCAAAGGTTTTTAGTCTATTCTTAACATCCTGGAGATTCACAACAATAACCCTTAAATGACTGACCTGTGTACTGAATAAATGTTGTATTATTCCCCCTGCAGAATCAGCAGACGTCACCTCCACGTACAGCCTGGACATCCTGTATTCAGGCTCTGGGATTCTGAGGAGAAGCAACATGAACATTTATGGTGCCAGTAAAGGAGCGACGCTACATGGTCTACAAGTAAAGATGGGCCGGGGATCACATTCATGTGCCGTCTGTTAGAAGTCCAACTAAAATCTCATATGTGATTCGTGTTTTCCTCATGTTGTCCAGGTGGCCATCGAGGCCCAGGGGATGGAATCCATGATAGCCGCCACACCTGATGAAGGTGAGGAAGACCTGGAATCTTTCGCGGGAATGTCTGCCCTGCTGTTCGATGTGCAGCTGAGGCCTGTCACCTTCTTCAAGGGTTACAGTGACCTCATGTCCAAAATGTTCTCCATGAGTGGGGAGCCCATGAATGTGGTCAAAGGCCTCATCCTGCTTACTGATCATTCTGAGGTGAGAAACTACAAATATGAAAAAAACTATTTTCATTATTCCACTATGAATTGATTGCATGTACAGTAAGAACAAATCCATATTTTTTTGAACATAAGTACATTTTGTATTTTAAAACCCTAGATTGGAATTGGTATCGACAGATGAGAAAATTTACCCACAATAAGATTTTCCACGAAAAGCCACTGAGCTGCAGTGTGGAGCACAGTCTGATTTGTTTGTTTGCTATTAACCTAACTAATAATCACTTGTGTATTGACTTACAATTATTTCTAGATCAAATGTAAGTTTTCTACTTGCAGAAATGTTCTGTAAAGACCTGTCGTGACCTTAATAAACAGCGCAGTACATTTGTGTTAAACTGTTCAAATCCCTCCTGTGTTACAGGTGCTGCAGCTGCAGTCTGGTCTCAGGGTGGGAGCAGAGTTTCAAGGAGGGTTAGCCATCGATATATCTGGAGGCATGGAAGTCAGCCTGTGGTACAGAGAGTCCAAGACCAGCGTCAACAACAGGTACATTTCACAGCAACCGTGCTCCGTCACCTACTGTTGTGTTACGTGTTCCGTATTTGGGTCACAACGTGAAAGCAACAGAAACAGGAAAAAACGATAAACTATCGCTCTGTACTCTGTACTGTACGTACAGAATTGTCTAACACAGGGTCAAAGGTCAGTGGCAGTTCTTAGAAAACAACCTTTGTGACTGTTGCAGATACAGATCTGTGTCGACGTTTGTGTCGTGGAATCACGTCAGCAGTAGAAACTCTAAAAGTGCCGTCTGATTCACTCGTTCCACCAGCGCGCTGGATCGGCTCCAGTATTGTGCCTGACACCTGTCTCACTTTTAGGCCTTTGTGGGTATGACATCAGTCTGCCTGCTTTTCTATTTTAAAATATTACAACCGATGCACGGCATGAGCTGCTGAATGTAAATCAGGTCAGTTAACGTGCACAGCCACAGGTGTTGGTTACTCTGTGGGAGTTGGCGACTTAATGCACAATTGTAATTTCAAGTTGTTCTAAGTCTGTGCACAAAATATCATTACAAGTGCTGTGAAACCTGTGCACAAAATATCATTACAAGTTCTGTGAAACATAACACACACGATACACAGTAATGTACCTCAGCTCCTTTTACAGTTCAATATTCAAATAAAAATTCTTTGACAGAACTGATAGCTGTCCTCGTTCAAAGTAACGTTTTTTGTAAATGTCACTACAGTAAAAGACAGCGGAAACTTTAAACCGTATTTTCTCGGAGCATTTCCTGTTCTTGGAATTGGGCGTCAGGATGATGTGTGTGCAGAGGGAATGGCAGAGGCAGGTGAATGGATCATAGTTATACCTCTTCCATTCTGATAATAGACTGATGGCTATGAATAGAATCAGAACAAACCACACTGGCATGTCTGCCGAGGCAGTTCTCCATGATGAAAGTTACAGCGTGGCCCAGTCTTCAACTGCTGGACACAACAGTTAAACCGAAAAATAAAAAAATCTCTCTGTGTCGATAAGTATTCGGTCCAGCAGAGTTTCAACAATCTCTGTGTTTTCTCTTTCTCATTTTGTTCCTCTGTTTGGGTGTAAGTAAACACCACAACCTCTAATGAAAATCATGACTAGTGAAAACAACAGAACCAGTAGGTGGCAGTGATGCAACTCACAAAAGGTTCTAATTTGGCAGTGAAGCCCAAAGAAGAACCAATGCAGCTGGGTTAGCTTAGCATAGAGTACTTACCTTCTTTGTTTTGATTCAACTGTAACATATTTGAGTTGGAAATGTCTGAAACCCTCATTTTGATTTTCTTTTGTTTCCAGAGGAGCACTGGTGGTCATGGGTAACGTTACTGTTGACACGGACTTCATGAAGACAGGTGTTGAGGTCAGCTTTGAAACAGAGGCGTCGCTGGACTTCGTCACCACCGTTCAGTTCTCTGAATATCCCTTTTTGGTTTGCATTCAGATGGACAAAGCTACATTCCCCTACAGGTAGTATTATGTCATAACAAAGAAGAAAAGATGATGGAACCGAATACTGTGACGTCATCTGAACATCTTCATCTTCTTTCAGTGAATCAATGACCAAGTATGAAAGTCTGTCGTCCGGGAAGACGGTCATGTTGAGTAAGAAGAAGAAGAGGCGTCTGCCTGGCTCGGAGTTCCCTCTTCATCAGGAGAACTCCAACATGTGCAACAGGGTCTTTGGCCCCAGCTGGTAGAGATACCGTCAACTGTATTCAAAGAGTGAAACCAGCAGTGAACGCCAGCTGAATGTTTAGTTTCGATGTTTGAACAGCACATACAGTGTTTACATTCCTGTGAATATAGTTTTAAAAATTGAGATTTTTTTTTTCAGAAACCAGGACTTGTTGCATCATCTTTTCGTGTTTTTTATGTATTTATGACAGGCAAAAAAAAGGATGTAGGTTTTACTTGACAGACAGTACAGATGCCATTTTTCCAGTGCAGGTAAAGTACAGTAGTAAAACTCATGTAAATACTGTGAGAGTGTGGACGAACCTCCTCATGAACAGAAACACTGGAATGTGTTAAATGTGGAAGAAAAACTTCAAGGCTTCATCTCACTGTCTTTCATTCATCCATTTTTTTTTTGACAATTTTATATTTTTTGTGTTTCCATAATTAGATGATCTGTATATTGGCTGAAAATAAATTTGCACTGGAAACACTCTTTGGTCAGTGGAATAATTGGAGGGACAAATAAATGTTATGTCCTTCGTCTTTACTGTTGAGTCTCCTGACAAAGACTCACTGACATATTTTAATGAAGGTTCATTATACTGCAGGGTTTTTCTCTGTGTGATCCATGCCATGTTTTGCATGTCGCCCCCTTCAGGTGTGTCACCTGAGTTGATGGGTGACACCTGTGAGCTGGTCTCTCTGCCACTGTCACATGTGATGATCTGTGCTTCACAAAGTGTCCCTCATGATCCCTGGTGTCTTTCCTCCTCGCCTTGTGTGTTCCAAAAGTTCTTCACGTTAAAGTTAGTTTTGTGTTATCTGACTTTGAAGTGAAGATTCAACTGGATTGAACTGGAGTAGCGTTTCTACACCTCCACCTTGTCTTGAACCAGACTGGCGATCACACCTGTTCTGAGCTTCAGTTAAGGTAAATAAAGTGTTAAAATAATGGTTGACCTCTTGATATACAGTATATATATAAATTAGAAATAAATTACTAAATAAAAATATGTGATATTTATAGATATATATATCTGTGCTATTTAGGCTCTTTTTATTTGAACATTTTTGAAAAAGCAAATTTAATTATAAGCAAATTTGAACCTGGAGGATTACGTTCGAAGAGGGATCCACAGCCTGTGGCTCTTGAGAACCATTAGATCTGCATCTTTATTTATGTATTATTTACATAAATAAAGGTTAAGCCAATTTAATTGTCAGCTCACTCACTGATAGCAAAACAAAATAAAACACATGTTCAGTCTTAAGGTCAAGAAACCAATGTCGACTATCAATATTTTTCCACTGCTGCTTGGGAGCAGAGAGACAACCAAATTTATTATTTATTTATTTATTTATTTATTTTATGGTGAATTGAATCTCATTTTAAAAGTTTTTTTTTTTTTATGAGACACAAATGCTATCTATTTACTCTTGAAATAACACCTAGATGACATCAGTGCTGAGACCACCTGTCGATCCAGGTGAGGCCATCAATCTTGACTTTCCCTGTGTGTCAAAGTTATGACATCAGAGCTGCCACTGGCATCCAAACACAACAACTGGGCCTTAATGTAGATTCTTTAGAAACCACCGAGAGCAGCTGGGGGCAAACCAGTGTCTGCCAGTCTCTCTGCGTCCAAGGCAACCGAATAAACACTGCAGCAAACTGTCAGGTTAAACTTAAGCCTCGGACCGGGTGATGTTTCAGTGTCACCAGAAAGCTAACCTCGCAGGCGGGCACATGCCAAATGTGTACTTCTGCCGGTGTAAATCTGTTTGATTGCCTTTGACCTGCGTCATTGCTGTGTTTTCAGTGGCAAAAAATGAATTGGCCTTGGTGTGAAAGTCACACTTAGACAAAATTATTTGTTATTTTAGCTACAGTTTGACACTTAATTTATTTCACAGAGCCACAAAAACAACACTGTTAAGTTGATTTGATTGGAATTCATGTACGATGAATTATTTTAACTAAAACTTTTCCGGGTTGGAAGCACGGAAGACAGTAAATTAGATCACAGTCGTTTTCATACAAACAGCAACAAACATGACATGATGTTGATTTAAATCATGGAGACAGGCGGCTTCAGTAGCTTGCTTTCTGAATTTATTGCAAACATATGTAGCCTCGTCAGTCTACATTACACACATTCATCACGGCCGTTACTTTCAAGTGCATAAGTGCAAACGCAGCACTTACTTCTTCTTTCAAGGTCCCACTCTGCTGTCATCGTAACCTCTGTCTTTTTCAGGGCAAGGAGGGGGAAGGGGGGGGGGGCAGCCATGCAACACAGTTGACATCAGGCATGGAAGCACTGTCTCACTCTGAGACGTAAAACATATGTGCCCTTTTAAAACTTCCAACTTAAACCAATTTCATTCACTTATCTCGAACCACGTCACTTTCAGAAAACCATCTTTCTCCAAGAGAAGCAAGCTTCAGTCTCACTTTCCCATATTTGACCTCATAGTCAGTGGGTTTTGTTGAAGGACTCCTGGAAGAATGTTTTAAAATACATGATATTATCTACAGTACATCCTCGGGTAAAATCCATCAAAAACTATTACAAATGTTTTTTTTTTCTTTACAACATCTCGACGTAGTAGCACCACTACTGCCGCTGCCGCTGCTGCTGCTACTGACATTGACATTATCAGGAAGCCAGTCACTACTGACAGAGTTGGCCTCGACGTAGTGACAATCCAAGTGCATTAAGTACAGTATTATTATTCACAGATAAAGGTCATACAAGAAACTAATAGTATTCACCAGAAAGTTTTTTTTTTTTTCAGGAAAACATACATATGAGCTGGTTTTTTGGAGCTTACATATTTTTATTTTTTGACAAACATTTTCACAGGGTTTTCAAAAATGATATGTAAATGTATTTTCATAATAAAATTATCTGTGGTTAGTAAAATATATTTGCTACGTTTGGAATCTTGCGCATCATACACATTTTTAGGAGGTAGAGTATCAATTTGTTTTATTATAATCTAAATTTCAGAGAAACGAATTGTTCCTCTGGTGATTTTTTTTTTTTTTTACTATTTTACGTTTGGCCTTTTTAAAAATAAATAAATACTTTTAAACAAAATAGTTCATTGTGACAGTGTATGATATGAAAATAACATTAACTTTTTTAGATTTATTTCATGTTGCGTGAGCAATCTATCAGTCTGATCTACTGCACAGTCGAAACCAAGCCTTCCAAATCTGTCGTGACTTCATAATCAAAACAACTCCTGGTACACTTTTTAAAAAAACTGTCTTTCCAGAAGCCTAATAACATGTATTTTACAGTGTTACGGTACAAAGAGTGACCAGCAGCTCCACATACCTCTACAAGGCATTTCATATGCCAAATATCAACTAAATGTTTGTAGGCCGTTTATTCCGCTGAGCCAAATAAAATATAATAAGCTTTGATGCTTCACTGAATCTTCAAAAGGAAACAGGCAGTAAAACAGACAGAACGGACACAGAACTACATCGGATACAAAGCAGAAATAATTAGAAAAAAAATAAAAATAATATAACGTACTGTTTTAGCCACAACAGAATACATGGTTTATGAATCAGGTGAAAGAGATCAGGCGGTTTAAACAGAAGAAAATGTCACGGCTGTTTGTGGAGTCTCAGTGCACGTCCGGCACATGTACAGTCTGTCCTTAAGTAATTTGACTCCTTCAGATCACAGAAAGCTGAAATGCCAAACATAACTCTCACCCACACACACACAAACACACACACACTAACCCCATCTGGTTACACAAAAGTGTAAAATAACCTCCGACCAGTAGAGGAAGTTTTCCCCTAAAAGTCTGAGCCGGCTCCGACTCGTTCGATCCAACACTACTTCCTGTCGTAGGTACTCTGTTGAACCTGAGCCCCGGCTCTGCTGCACGTCAACACACTTGATGTGTTTCTCTCTTTTTGGGGAGTGTGTGTTTAAAAAAACAAACATTTTTAAAAAACCCTGTTTTGCAGGTATTAGCAGCTTTTTATAATCATAGGAATCACAGGAGAGACACCGACATTAGCCACCGCCTCGGCTAAACATCGTGGCAAAAAGAATACGCACGTATTCATTTGTTTATCTTCTGCCGCCTGATCAATGTTAGGGTTGGGGCTAATTCAAAATTCAAATTCAAATAATCTAATCCTGCATGTTTTTGGACTGTGGGAGTAAACAGGAGCACACACACACACACACACTTGAAGACTCCATACACGTGGACCAGGGATGAGAGCCTTTACTAACTACTTCCGAGTTATGAATCTAATGAATAAGTTGATTCAATAATGCCTAATGCATTTATTATGAACCTAATGTTGATGCACTGTGTGGTCCCAGTCCTTGAGAAAACTGTTGATAATTAGTCAAATATTACTAATTACTAATATTACTTTGTTTTCGTTTGATACATTAAGGTGGAGCTATGTAACTTTGACAGTTCTTCTCGTAAACAGCTGCCGAAACAAAACTTCAAACCAACAGCCAGCATCAGGGCATGAAGTATTCATGAAGGACTGGCGTGAAAGTCTCACACTCTGCCCTCCCAGAGCCTATATTCAGAAGGAACACCATCGGAGGTGACAAATCACTCCCTGCTGCCAACTTTCACTGGCAAAGAGTGAGTAGTACTCCATTTGCACATTTTCAAGTTAGAAAGTACTTGACAGAAACTACGAGACAACCACCTGCTTACTTACTTTAGAAACAAGATAATCAAATACTATACGGACTGTGGTGAAAACTAATTTTTACTGTTTTGTTATAATATTTTTTCATCTTTTTGTCACTGACTGTAAAAGAATAGGCTGTGTTGTGTTAGCATTCTGCTAACGCTACTATTTTCAGTAAATGTTAATGGAGATGAGGTTAAACTGTAACAAGTAGAAAACATTAGCCTCAACACAACACAACACCACACAAAACATCAGCCTGATTAGCATTGACTAGCACCGTTAGCATTTAGCATCTGCTAATGCTACTAAAGCTAATCTGTTGGCTAAAACCATCAAACCCTGTTTGTTTTGAAGCAGCTTTTGATAATTTAACCTTTTGTCTGATAAATGGATAAATGTAAATGACATTGCTGAAATATTTTGTCAAATATTGTCATTTTTAAAAAAAATAGTCATGAAACATTTACTTAGCAGTTTCTAAACCACAGACTCAATCCCTGCGACCACAATTTCATTAAGCTAAGATTTAAGATATGCACATGAAAATCTTAATTAATTCATCTTTTTAATGTTTTAATAAATTAGCCTTTAAATGTTCATTTGAAGAGGCTGCCCTCTATGGTACGCTACACAGACGTATAGTCATGTAAAACTAATAATAACTCAACATAGAATTCCTGCGTTGTTTCCTTTTGAACAGACATGTGTCAGAGGCCGTACAACATTTCAGCACAGAGAAATACTCATCGGGAGAAGCAGCTGAATGGAAAGTATTCAAAGCAGATTTATATAGCAACATGGCAGAGCATCAGCCAGGGCATTCGGCCGAATGTGTTTACCCTACAAAGTGCACCGATGCATAGAGTGTAGAGCAGTGTCCGCTGCAGGGATCAGCAGCGCAAAAAAAGTCAGGGGAGAAGTTTGTCGTCGGAGGTCGTCCTTGGGAGTGGATCACAGTTGGTGAATGGGTGAAACTGCACTTACGGTGAATGGATGCTGTCTGTTTAGGGGGGACATGAGGGGTTCTAAAAATAGAGAAGAGATAAAAAAAAAACATGTTTAAGTTTCTATACATGAAAACATTTAGGGATCAAATATTTCAGAGGAGAAGATTTCCATATTCTTAATTCATGACTCGGTCTCCTGACAGGACCAGGGGATTCAGACAAAAATGTCATACTTTCTTTTGGTTTGGTTCACTTCTACAATTCGCTTTTCAAAAGTGGACCAAACTATATCGTGATTTTCAACGTCTCATGAGGAAGAAAATAATTCTAAATAATAGGAGTCCATCGCCCTCAGCTACATCAGTGATATTTAGGCATCTGATCTTCATCATCTTCATATCAAGAAGCCCGTACACCACCTCCCGGCTCCCTGTCACGTACGAGACATTTTCAAACTTTTGCTAGTTATGCGACTTTATTAGCTTCTTTGGTTTTACATGCAGTGTCACTTCAGTGAGTTGGTTCATTTTGCTCCGCTCAGTGAACTGTACGTGGGTTCACGATCAGAGATTGGTTTTCACACTTGCCACAACAAAGCAGACGTTTTAGAAAACAACCCCTGGGGCATTTAGTAAATGGACCAAACAGCTCTTGATCAGATGACGTTTATTCTGACCATAATTACTGTGGTGACTAATCTCTGTTAGCGTGTAGCTCCTGGTCGTCAACCACCTGACCAGATTCAGCCAGTTCCCTTCCGTTTGTTTATGTGGGAGCATGGTGGAGGTCATCAGAGCCTGCCTCCTCTCTCTCCCCGTTTAGGAAAGAGGAAAGGGGGAGGGGGCTATAAAAAGTTGACCCCACCTCAGCTCTGTAGACACTCTTACAAGCTGGAGCTGCAGCAGATCTGATCTCTGCGAGCAGCTGTCCTCTCCCTGCATCAGCACAACAAATACTTTACATTGCCTGACCTTTTCCTCCTGCATCACCATCTTACCAATGCCCCAATGTCTCCCTGTACAGCCCCCTCCCCTCCCCGAGCACACACACTGTGTTTCATTTTACACCACTACCAAACCCCATGAGGGCCCCTGCCTCGCTGCCACACGCTCTGCTGACACGTATCCCTGGGGCTCAGGCAGCACATTAGCTGCAAATGGACTGTGACTACTGTAAAAAACTGAAAAGAAAACTATAAACATTTCAACTCTTTAACTCTACTATCCCACAGTCTACTATTACTATTCCATCCTGGAGAATAATATTCACTTCCTTCACTGGGTTTGGGTTTGTTTTCTATGTCGTACCTGCTGATGTTTCTGCGATCAGCGAAAAAAAAAATTAGTTTTTATTTTACTGAAAATAAAAACTAATGTTTGTTTTCACCAAAACAAACATTTTTTTTTTGCTGAACCTAATGTAAAATAAAACATACAACTGTAATCTTTGCAGTATTTTTTCACCAAAACATTTTTTTTTTGCTGAACCTAATGCACATTCTGATACTGATGTTACAGTACAACCCCAACACTTCTTCAAATGAAGGTCTTTGACCAGTACACTGGCACCACATATTATTGCAACATGGAATTTTGTGACGGCACATTGTCATGTAATAACATTTAAGTGTCCAGAAAATCAGAATTTCCTGTTCATTATTTTATTTTTATTCTAGGTCAGTTGAAAAAGTCTTGTTAACTTTAGACCAGGTTAAACCCTCCTGGTCTCTGTGCTGTGTTCTGGACCGGGACTAAAAACTGAGGATTCAAACCAAGTTTGTTTTGTTCCGACTGTTACTATAGTATTCTATATATACTTTCTGCTGAAGCTGTAGTGTCATCTTTTGGCCTCACTTCCTGCTGCTGCTGTCCTTGTGTCCCCTCCAGGAGGTGTTAGTGGGGAGACATTTATAGCTAATGTGATAAAAACTCAATACGAATGTGAACGTGTAAATACCAATTTAAGTGTTTTCCAAAGTTTTCCCCGTTAGATCTATTACATAGTACTGCAGTATTATGGGCTTTGCATATTTTTCTTACAACGCATGTACTTAAAATACATGACATGAATCTTCCCAACCTTTTGTGTACCAAGGACTGGTCAGTAGGGGGCGTTACTGCAGACCGGTAGCACCGTGCAGAATGTTGGAGGACTGTTACATTTTTGAAATAAAACATCTTTTAGACTTTATTCTCTTAGTATCAGAGTCTGGATGACATGTTATTTTGAAATATTGCCAGAATATCTTTGAATGAAGTATATGGATTTGTTTGATCATTATGTTACACTGTGGCCCGGTAACAAATGACCTATGGACCGGTACTGGTCCGCAGACCCGGGGTTGGGAACCTCTGCTTTAGAAACAAACAGAACAAACACACTTTCTGTTCAGTTGCCTGAGAATTCCATGTCACCATAACGACATGTTGAAAGTCTCACAGCGGAGAGAATCCAGGAATGAGCAGTTAGAGAACCGTAACGCTATCTGAGCAGCTAAAGCATTTTATAACACTAATTATAGAATTACTTGAAGGAAGGTGTCGTTGACTGAAATAGTTTCCTGTGACACGTTCCAACCCTGACAATAAACCATGTAAACAAACTTGCACTATCAAAATAGCCCCGCGGTGTGTAATGCAGAGAAAAGGGAACCGACTCGCAGTCGGCCGTGGCTGAAAATCCAGTCTCACACGGAGGCCGGCCTCAGCCCAGTGGAGTAAAGTTACCTGTCATGAAGCTGCTATATGTCTATTAACTCCAGCAGCCACTGCTCCTGCATTAGCAGCAATAAAAACGCCTTGGAACTTTTACAAACAGTAGGATCATGTGCTGCAGCAGCGACTATCACACCAGCACAGATTTATGGGACGGATTAGAGCTAGAGTATGCTTACATTTTCTAAGAAACAAACTCGTCGTCTCAGGTTTTTATTTATCATCAGCAACGCTGCCCCCTGCCTGTGCACCCTTTATATATATTGGTAATAGTCATAAAGTCTCTGGTTGGAAATGTTCGCCGGTGAAATACAGACCAGGTTAAAAACCACAAGGAGAGAGAAACGTCTTCAATGTAGATCAAGAAACGTATGTCATCTGACAGTTATTGATTATTCATTAGAGTTTACCATAATGTGCAACACACACACACACACACACCAGTGCTACAAATCCAAACGGACAACTCCATTTAGCCTGTTCTGCTTTGTCTATCATGAGAAACATTTGCACCATTCAGTACTATTTTGCACCATCTGTATCATTTGCGCCCTCTGCCAGTCATCTGACAGACTTTATATTTATATATATTATTTATTACTGATCATAGTTTTTATTGATTTTTTTTCTTATTCTTATACTAATTGTGTGTGTTTTTAAGTTACCAAAACGGAACAAAAAATATATTTTTGTTTGTATTAACTTCTAAATTACTGGACCTGAAATTGTCAAACTTTTCCTTTAAAGTCAAAATGTCAGATTAAATTAATTATTTCTGCAGCTTTAATGATCACTGAACTCACACTTACTTGCAGTGAGAAATGTTCTTGGTCACCGATGCTCAACTACAAAACTCATCGTTGTTCCGTCGAAGGAAGGAGGGGCGACGATTCTTGGACCTTGTTGCGACGTGATGCTGATTAGTGGTTTCCGTGCAGATCCGGCTCCACCTGCCGTGGCGCTCAAGTGCCCGACACTCGCAGGTAGCTTCAGTGGCCCCTGGGGGGCCTCGGCTGTTGCGCTGTAATATACGCTCTCTGGGCCTGATGTGCAGGTGTCCTGCTTTGGACTGGTGGCGTGTTTGACTTTGTCCAAACTCGTGTCCTCAGACTGAGAGGGAGACTGTGGCAGGACGGTCTGGGCTTGGAGCGGGGGCGAGCTGATGAAGCCGGGGTAGATCATGTAGGTGGGTGTGTACGCTCCTGGGCTCAGTGTCAGAGGAGACAAAGAGAGAGGGACGGGCGTGACAGGGGTTGCACCTGAATGGGGCACAGGGACATCCACATACTGGCCCGTCTCGGGGTCAAACAGTCGCTTCGTGGTGGCCTGGATGGGAGTGTCCACCAGGTAGTAATGTCCCGTAGAGGGGTCCAAAAGCATTTTGCGCTGGGTTTGTGGTGCCGTCTCTTTGACAGGTGAGGTGGAGGTCATGGTCGGGTCAGAGGGTGAGATGCTCATCACCTGCTGCTGAGCTTGAGGCACAGTTTTTGTAGTTGCTGCTGCGGGATGGTGGTAGATGCTCGCAGCAGGACATTCCATGATCAGTGGAGACCTCTTCTGCTCAGGTGTCTCACCTGTTTGACTCTGACTGATGCTGGAATCCCCTTCCCTCGAAGCAGGTTCTTGATTGTGCACTTTGATTTCACTTGTGTAGCCCTGCCCCGGTATGGCTAAGTAGTCCTCGGAGTCTCCGCACGCCTGTGTGACAGCTGGATTAGTGGGAATGATTTTGACCTTTCCCTGCTCCACCTGGACATGTTTGGGGGGCTCTATTTTCACTGAAAGGGGAGCTGCCGCCGCCGCCGCCGCGGCCCTGGAGCTTTGTGGAATAGAGTTACCAACAGAAGCAATGCTGACATGTGCTTTGTTGTTGTTGCCAAAATGAAGGAGGCTGCTCCTGCT